CCTATTTGAACGTTTCGGTCAGTAAATTAGCTTAGTTGCTGAGTAAAAGGTGTATATATCCTGTCTTTTTTAGGAGCAACTACAATGTAATATTCATTTGTTTCTGACTTATTATTTCAGATTTGATTCATATGATTTTTCGAGAAAAACTTCAATTTTTCAGCAGAATGGGAATTTGATATACAGACGCTCAAATGTTTGATAAGTTGGGTTTTGACCCGAAATGACATGCCACAGCGATTTTCGAGCTAAAAAATCCATTCCTCTTTTTTGTTTAAGCTTTAATCTTGAACCAGAATGAAATCGAGAATATAAATTCCATTATATCATTCTGAAATTCAACTATCAAAACACATAGTTTCTCGTTTTTTACTTCAAATCCACTTAAACAAAATTTCGAATCCTGTTCCATTCCTCTTTTTTCACAAAACTGCAATCGAAGGTCAGAAAGTACTAAATCTGTCATTGTGCCAAATCAGTTCGTTGTACGTTGCTATCTTTGTTGATAATAGCACATTTGCCTTTTCTGCCATATTTCAAACCAAGTAAATGTACGTTCTATTTTTTTTATTTTTATTTTTTATTTTTCTATTCTCTTAAAGTTAGACGGTTCGATTTAGATAAGAACGTAACAAAAGAAAAACTAACAGTCCGCGCACTTGCACTCAACAAAGAAGAGCATACATTTACTTGGTTTGAAATATGGCAGAAAAGGCAAATGCGGTATTATTAACAAAGATAGCGACGCACAATGAACTGATAGAGCTTACCAAAAAAGACCCCAGTTTCTACTTCAAAAACTGCCCACGTGACGATAGGCGGTATCGTATCTTCACATATAAGCCCATGGGTTGGGTTTCGTTCAACGAACTGGGTTCCATGGACTGTCGTGGAATTATGTTCGATGTCACTGAGGGGGATTCTTCACCTATCCTCGTCTCTCTGCCGCCACGAAAATTCTTCGAGTATGAGCATGATACTCGAGATCACACGTTGGGATGTATTGGGGATAAAATGGTAAAATTAGACGGATCGTTGATTTCGACGTTCATCCACAAGAGTAAAGTCTGTCTTAAATCGAAAGCCAGCCTAGACTCACCACAAGTGCGTCAAGCAGAATCCGTCCTGCGGAAAAATGCGGCCCTAGATAGAGAAATTCAGTCACTCGCCGAAGAAGGCTACACGATCAATTTCGAGTTGACATCACCGCGAAATCGAATTGTCATACCCTATGAAGTCGAACAGCTCAATCTTCTCTCCGTTCGATCACATAGTACTGGTGAGAATCTGTTCGGAACTCGACTACAGCAATTTCTTCAAGACAAATATCCAGCAATGATGCAAAACATGGTTTCGTATGAAAATTGTTTGGCGAGTGTCGTAACTGTTGAGGGACATCGCGAGCTAATCGAGACGATTCGCAAAGAGCAAACGGGAGAAGGTTATGTGGTGGAAATTATTTTAAGTGACGGAACATCGTACTTGACCAAAGTGAAGAATAATACATTTCTCGGCCTGGAAAAGAAGAAGAAGAACCCCGGTTTGCGATAAAGGGTAGCACATTCTTTACGGACTGTATGAGTGGCGATACTTCGACTTACGTCTAATATCTTATTCTTAAATTCTGGCGCTAAAAGAAGGCCGATGAATCGATCAGTTTAGACATATTTCGATGGAGAGAATCATTATAGGGTGAATCCATAGGGTTTCTAGCACTTTTCTGAAAAAGTCTTTTTCGATTTTATTCGAGTCAGTTTGGTGGAAAGTTGACCGAAAAGATCTTTGGCCGAAAAAAGGGTCACTTGTGCTTCGAATTCTCCACATCTCAATTCATCAGGAATGAACCAATTTTGATTGTTCTTACTCGTTCAGAGGCTGTGATCTTTGGTCAATAAATCTTCTTACGGGAATTAAGTTTACTGCAAAGCTAAGTTCATGTGTTTGAATCTCTATTAGTAGAAAGTTGCTTTTGTGTTTTTCGATAGTTTTAGTTTAGAATACTGTAATGGAATATTTTTCTGCTTGTGTTCTGACAGAATAAAGCTTATATCAATTAAAAGACTGTGTAATCACAACTATAGTCACAAAACAGGGATCCTTTGGTTTACGGAGGTTCAGAACGGTGAATTTGGCTTTGTAGTAGTTTACTACGAAGCTAAGTTCACATGTTCGAATCTCTATTCGTACAAAATTGATTTTGTGTTTTTCGATAGTTTTAGTTTAGAACACTATAATGGAATATTTTCCGCTTGTATTCTGACAGAATAAAGGTTATATCAATTAATTTTAAATTCTAATTAAAATTTTAATTGTTAGTTCTATTTTTAAAAAGCTTACAGCTCACTCAAAAATAGTCGTAGAGAGGTTTCGGGTTTCTACGAGCGTTATTATTATCGGTGCCAAAATATAAGGCAGGTTGTTATTTTTGAATAACTCAAAGACGGTGAAAGACAGAGACCTGTGATTTTTGGCAGTCGAAAGAGGACAGTTTAGCCTACATTTTCATATGCAGAAACATTTTTTGAAAAAATTTTTCAAACCGATTTTTCAGAGGATCTCTGGAAAACCAGTGTCTAAGTCAACAATTTTACATAGCAATCTATCAATTTTTTTTCAGAGGTAGATAGTTCAAAGTGTTCTCGTTCAAATTTATGACATTGAAATGAAATGGACTTTAAAGCTCAAAACAAAGAAAATAAATTGCTGTGTACTCTGAAGAAGGTGCTCTAGGAGAAAATTTCTAATTACTTCATGTTCTCGAAGAAAATATCGAGTAAAACACGGTGAAATCTGGTGGAAAAGCGATTAAACTATCGAATGAACGTAGTGACAATCAGATAAGTGGCAAGAAAGCTTGCTTAGCCTTTCTGCAGCCTTGTTCTAATCTCACGGAGATCTTGTTACGATCTTGTCCGGTTCCCGTTTCAATCTTGCCGCAATCTTAGCAGGATTTCAGCGCGATCCCGTCAAAAAATTTTCCCGTCAAGATTGTTAAATTTTCGTTACACGGGAAAAATAGCAAGATTAGATACGATCACGGTATCGATCTCGCGTTAAGTTCCAAATTCCTTGTCAAAATCGCGGCAAGATGAGGCTGTATTCTTGCAGCGAAATTAAGCGGGAATGCTACTAGGGCAGGATTTTTATTTTGCCAGCACCGACAGAACCCTGCATAGTTCATGCATGATTAACGTGGAAAAAATTCTGCGTAAAGGTAAGAAATATCGCCGGATACTTTAACACATACAAATCGTAGGCTTTCTGCGCAAAATCCTGCAAAATTTTATTCTGAAAGAAAAAAGCTTCTTTCATCGCATTGTAAACATGTGTTTAAAATGAGATGAGAGATCCCTTTTCCGACGTTTGAAATCATGCGATGGTGAACTGAATTAAAATATTTTATTTATATCTAACCGGAACAATTAAAAGAAAACGTTTGTTTTTATGTAAATGATTTTCTGATTCACCCTCAATTAAGATCGAATCTTAAGTCTCAGAATCAACCCCATATACTTAAGGCATACCAAAAGTTCATAGAGTGATACCTTAATATCTTATGATAAGCTTTAAGTAACTTTCTGTCTATAAAGCTCGGGAAGGTCTTACCCTGAAAATTTCAGCCTGATCGGTTGTTCTAGAACAAAAATAGGTTTTTAATGGGGGACCTTAATGAAGTTTCTCGTTCTTGTTTTTTGTTGTTCAAATATTTATCTCGAAGTCGATCTTACGTCTATTTGGCGAGCAACTGTCGGGTTCCTTCCTTGACAAAATTTTAAAATTCCTAAATTTTACGTTAGCTAACTTGAAAGTGTCTCCCCTTCTTCACGTTTCTACGTTATCGCTACTGTTTCCGAATAAAAATTAGGCTTTGATCAAAATCTGTAATTAGTTGCAGTTTTTTGTTCAAAATTTATTTCAAATCCATCCCGTCACCCACTCTACAAAAATTCATCTTCGCGTTCTAGTTCGAGTCCATTAAAAATCTTTTGAGTTCGGACTGGAACTTACCTGCCTGGTTACCACCATTTATAACTGAAACTATCGTTCTTGATCAATCTTATGTAGAAAATAAATGTCCGGATCCATAACTTTCATGAAATCAGTAAATAAATGAGAAAAAACCGCGTCCTTTGGCTCTCAACAAACATCTCTAAAAAACTATTTCGCATCCAAAAACAAAATCTATTTATAGCATAAATTCATAAATACCTTGCTGATACAACTAACTAGCTATTGCTATTAATGTCAAAATCTGATCACAACCCTACTATAGTTGCTTTTTTTAATGAGCAAACATTTGAATAAGAATATGATAATTTTAATTGACATGATGTTTTATTTTTGTCGACGTTTCGAACAATACATGTTCATTATCAAGACAGATGTTACGAAGTTACCCGTGTCTTTTATTTTCAAACTACTTCGTAACATCTGTCTTGATAATGAACATGTATTGTTCGAAACGTCGACAAAAATAAAACATCATGTCAAAACTTTTCGCTGCTGTTAAAATTATCATATTCACGACCCTACTACTGAAATAACAAGATTATAACAAGTAGTCTAACCCATTTATAAAATAATGCTTTGAGTGCAAGAAATCAATTAAATTGCTAAAAGAAATTGATGTTTTCTTAAAGAATCTTTTAGAAGTGCCCGGTTGGACACTTGGACCTCTTAGATGGATACCCTCTACTCTGCTGAATCAAATTCTAATGATAATGAACGGTAAGACACAAGATTGCAATAACAATATTTTTCTTCACATAATCACACATTTTGGTTTGTCATTTCAAGGATACAACTTGTAAAAACAATAATAAAAGACGATGAAACTGAAACTAAAAATAAATTTGATTTAATGATTAGTTATTGTTGGGCTGAAAAAAAAATTGCTAAAAATATTTATGAAAATTTAGTTACATCTGGTTATCATTTATGGTTTGATGAAGATAAAATGCATGGTAGTACATTGAGTGCAATGGCTGATGCAATTGAAAATTCTCAATGTATTCTTGTTTGTATGAGTGACAATTATAAACGTAGTAATAACTGTCATTGTGAAGCCGAGTATGTTTATGTTAAACAACGAAAAATCATACCAATTTTAGCACAATCAAAGTATAAAGCTGATGGATGGCTTGGATTTTTATGTGGATCAAGACTTTATATTGATTTTACAAAATACGATTTTCAAATAGCATTTGATAGATTAATTAAAGAAATATTTAATATATTTAAAAACAAAACTGAGACAAAAACATTAATCGCTCAACCAGCACCTATAGCTAAACTATCATCACCACAACAACCATCACAAGAAATAATCATTATGAATTGTTTATTTAAAGAGAAATATGTGAAAGATTGGTCGTACAATGACATTGTTAATTGGTGTAATGAAAATAATTTATTAGCATTTCCTAAACTTTTATTACATTATGATGGTAATAGCTTAATTTTATTCTATGAAAAATTATGCAAAACAAATATCGATAATATATTTAATTTACTTCAAAAGTTATCGACTGATTCTAATTTGTCTATTTTGGATTTAATACGATTTCAAACACAATTAGAAAAAAAAATGAATGAGGATGAGAAAAATATGAAGAATCTAAATGTTGAACAAACCAATCCGTCAAATACAGTAAATAATAACAAACCGAAACAAAAATCATCATCAAAAAGTTGTTGCATTATTTAATGAGTAAGAAACTTATTTTTTTTATTTAATGTACAGAAATTATTAAAAGAATTCTGTTTTAATGTGAAAACATTTCGTCTTATACAGTTTTCTCAAAAATCGCAAATCAATTGTGTGACAATTTAAATAACGTTGTAACTACAGTAGGTTTGTACATAACTCCAGTGTACTCTATCCGATGGACTACCTTTTGATTAACTGAAACATTTTTGCTACTTTATGTGTTTCTTAATAAAAAATATCTTTAAAAACCAACTATTTTGCGAACCATGAATATATTTCAACGATTTGCACATACAATCTTTGAAAAAGGCGTACACTTTTACATATAATTATCATCCAAATCGAATAATCCATAAATATTTGTTCTAAAATTCAGTTGGCACTTTTGTCTTATTTTGATCTTACCCACTGAAAAAAACAACCGATTCTAATAACAAATTCTAATAACAAGTAGAATCACCGTTAACACCAGTTGTTTCGTTAGTTTTTTCAAGTTTAGCTTCTTTAAAATCTATTTTCAAAAATTTATGGAATGGTCGTGGCGGATCTGTTGTCGCGATAATGTTGGTTCGCGGAAATGTCGACGTATCCT